TTTTTTTTTCCGCGTTCGGCCGAACGTCCGAACGCGTCGAGAGGGGGTCCCAAACGTTCGGGCGTTCGGGTTCGGGTGTTCGGCCCGTCCCGAACGCCGGCAACCCTGTGGGTAACCGGCGTTCGGGACGGGCCGAACGCTCGAACCTGAACGCCCGAACCCGAACGCCCGAACCCGAACGCCCGAACGTATGGGAACCCTTGGGGATGCGTTCGGCCGTTCGGGCCGAGCGCGGACCCAAAAAAAAGAAAAAAGAAAAGAAAAAACAAAGTCATCAAAAAAATATGAAAAAACGATATGTTATAGAGAAAAATAAATTAAACAAGATTTGCCTGAGCATTACATCCGAATTCCTTACCAAATTTGAAATAAAAATAAAATACGGAAAATAAATGCTAATAATAAAAATACATAAAAATAAAWAAAGAATTAAATTTAGTGAGTGCGCGAGCATGTTTTTGGCACCGCCATCTTTGGGGATTTAAAAAAAAAAAAAAGTTTCAAAAAATAATAAAATTGTTTAGACCCCGAACTAAAGTGAAAACAAAAAGTAAAAAGTGAAAAAATATGTGGGCGAGCACGTTTTGACACCGCCATCTTTGGCGATTTGTAATTCTTATCGGGCTTAGCCAAATGATTTGAAAATTTACAGGCATGTACCTCACGTCATAGAGAACTCACAAAAAACAATTCAGAAAAAAATAATTAGTTTTAGGCCCCAAAATAATTTTTGGCGTGGTCCGAACGCCGTCGGGTTCGGACCCCGTACGGGACCCCGAACGCCCGTACGTACGGAGGTCTGCCCGGGGACCTCCGTACGGACGGGCTGGTGACCCTGTATATATATATATATATTACAATCATCTAAAAATCGAAATCAGGTTACTATCTTAAAGCTACTTCACAAAAAATGAGATCAAAACGAAAAGAAACGGAGGTCACTCCAGCCACGAAGAGCAAAACTATGGATATATATATATATATATCGTCAAATAGTATATATATATTATATATATGTCAAACAGATGTTACATGCTGCGTCTGCAACAGGCTGCACGGGCCATTTTCTGTCGTTATTAGCCTGAAAGCCTGAAAACAAGGGCCTACAGGCCCTGTGTAGGCCCTTTTCATCAGGCTTTCAGGCTGAAACGACACAGGGCCTGTAGACCTTGTTTTCAGGCTTTCAGGCTGAAACGACATAGGGCCTGTAGGCCCTGTTTTCAGGCTTTCAGGCTGATAACGACATGGGCCTCAAAATGGCCCGTGCAGCCGTTTGCAGGCGCAGCATGTAACACAGAGCTGCCCGGTAAACCGTAGGCAGACAGGGAGAAGAGGACAACAAACGAGGGGATGTGACAAACTGTTTCGTCGGAGTTTTTTTTTTTTTTTTTTTTTTTTTTTTTTGGGAAAATCGTCGGAGTTTCACCGACTCATCAGGAGGCTGAAACCTCTATATACATACATATCTGTTTGACAATATATATATAATATATATGTATATACGTATTGTTATATATGCATACCAATGATACCATATGTATTTAATATATCCCTCTCTGCATACGGTTTACCCGACAGTTCTGTTTATATGTTATTATATATGAATATATATATATATATAAACTCCGACGAAACAGTTTGTCACAGCCCCTCGTTTGTTGTCCTCTTCTCCCTCTCTGCCTACGGTTTACCGGGCAGTTCTATTTGACGATATACGTACGTATGTGGTTTCCATCTACCTCATGGTGGTTTGTTTGCAGGTGCGTTGGACGGAGACAGCGGCGTTGATTTTATCGAGGACCGAGCTGCTTGTTGGGGACGTGTTTCTTTCCTCCGCTTCCATCAGTTACTGCGGCGCTTTCACTGGACCATACAGGAAGACCATGCTCGACCGTTGGATTGCTCGCTGTCAGGATCTGGCCATCCCCGTTTCCAAGGATGCTTCCCTTCGTGCCACACTGTCCAATCCCGTGGAAGTCCGAGAATGGAACATCTGGGGCCTCCCCAGCGATGACGTGTCCATAGATAACGGCATCCTGGTGGCACGCGGCAAGCGCTGGCCGTTGATGATCGACCCGCAGGCTCAAGCCAACCGTTGGATTAAATCCATGGAAGCCAAGAACGGGCTACGCATCATTCGTCTGAGCGACAACAATTTCCTCCGCACCCTCGAGAACAGCATACGCATTGGCAATCCCGTCATCTTGGAGGACGTTGGAGAAGTCCTGGATCCGGTGCTTGACCCCATCCTCCAGAAGCAAATCCAGAACAGAAAGGGTCGTCTTCTCATTCGTGTAGGGGATAACGACGTTGATTACGATCCGAGCTTCCGGTTCTACATCACTACCAAAATGTCCAATCCTCACTACCTCCCAGAGACCTGCATCAAGGTGACGATCGTCAACTTCACGGTCACTAGCATCGGATTGGAAGATCAATTGCTGGGGGATGTCGTGAGGAAGGAAAGGTCGGACCTTGAAGAGCAGAAAGATCGGCTGGTGGTGAGCATCAGTAATGACAAGAAGCAGCTCAAGGATCTGGAGGACAAGATCTTGAAGTTATTGAAGGAGAGCGAGGGGAACATTCTAGACGACGAGGTGCTCATCAACACTCTGAACAACTCCAAGCTCACATCCGGAGTGATCCAAGCTCGAGTGAAGGAGGCGGAGGTGACCGAGAAGGACATCAACGAAGCCAGAGAGCAGTACAGAATCGTGGCGAACAGGGGATCTATCCTCTATTTTGTCATCGCCGATCTTGCCTTGATTGATTCCATGTATCAATACTCGTTATCCTACTTTGCTCAGCTGTTCAACTACTGCATAGACGTGGCAGCGCAATCGGAGGATCTGGACATGCGACTCAGCAACCTTATCAACTACACGACGGAGTTCATGTTCCTGAACGTCAGCCGAGGACTGTTCGAGGAGCACAAACTTCTCTTCTCCTTCTTGATGGCCACCTCCATTCTCCGCTCGTCGGGGGACATAGGGGCCGAGGAGTGGTCCTTCTTCTTGAGAGGTGTGGCGGCTAGCAAAGTTACCGATGATCAGGGAGGCAGCGGTGCCGGCCGCGCCGCGCTCGCCGTGCAAGAGTCGGCCAATCCTGTGTCGGCTTGGGCCAGCGACTCCGTGTGGGTCAATCTGCGCGCACTGGAGAAAGCCATACCCTCCTTTGTCGGGCTTTCCGCCGCTGTCTCTGCCAATCAGGCTCAGTGGAAGGCATTCGCCCAGTCACCGGAACCTCATAACGCGCCCCTTCCAGGGGAGTACGGCCAGAGGGAGGTGGCGGCCACGGCCGCCGCCGATGCCGAGGCTGCGGCTTTCGCCGCCGACGTTGCAGCTGCAGCTGTGGCCGCCGCTGCGGCTGCCGCCACCGCCGCCGCTGTAGCGCCTGCTGCTGCTGGGTCGCCCGACATCCTCCAAGCCCCTGTTGACGACGACCACGACGCTGACCGCCATCGCGAGCCCGATCCGACCAAGATAAAGAGGGTCCGCCGAAGCAGGATGGGTTCCCTGATCCATCCGCAGAAGAGCAAGTGCTGTTTCCAGCGCCTGAACCTGGTCAAAGTCTTCCGCGAAGAGTGCTTGGGCTTCGCCTGCGCTCGCTTCGTCACCGACATCCTGGGGCGGAGATTCGCGGAGGTGGTGCCCTTCCAGCTGGACGACGTGTACAAGGACACGACCTGCACCAGCCCCATCATCTTCATCCTGTCGTCGGGCGCCGACCCCACGGTCCTGTTGCAGAGGTTTGCCGAGAAGCTGGGTCGGCGACCGGGTGAGCAGCTGCACATGATCTCGCTTGGGCAAGGCCAAGGACCGGTTGCCGAGACGCTCATCTCCAAGGCCTCCAAGCAAGGCGATTGGGTCTGTCTCCAGAACTGCCACCTGGCAACCTCCTGGATGGCCGTGCTAGAGCGCACGGTGGAGCGTTTCCAGGCTGAGAGTGCCGAGATCCATCCCGACTTCCGCCTCTGGTTGACCTCCATGCCCAGTCCCGACTTTCCCATCCCAGTTCTTCAGACGGGCGTCAAGATCACCAACGAGCCCCCCAAGGGAGTGCGAGCCAATCTTCTCCGCTCCTACTCCGGATTCACCGACGCCTTCCTCGACAGCTGCTCCAAGAAAACCGTCTGGAAGAAGCTGGTCTTCGCCATATCCTTTTTCCATGCCATAGTCCAGGAGCGGCGAAAGTTTGGGCCTCTGGGCTGGAATGTCCGCTACGAGTTCAACAGCTCGGACCTGGACTGTGCGCTTCAGCAGCTGCACATGTTCCTTGAGGAGCAGCCGGAGATCCCCTGGCCCGCTTTGCTCTATGTGACTGGAGAGATAACCTACGGCGGGCGGGTGACGGACTTCCTGGACCGCAGGTGCCTGGCCTCCATCCTGAACCAGTACTACTGCCCCTTCGTCTTGGAAGAGGACTATACCTTCACTCCATCGGGGGTCTATAGGGCCCCCCCTGAGGGGGGCCTCGAGTCCTACGTCGAGTACATCAAGTCCTTGCCGCTGACCGAGGACCCTTCCGTGTTCGGCATGCATGACAACGCTGCCATCACCTTCCAGACGCAAGAGACGACCAGGTTCATAGAGACAATCCTCAACATACAGCCACGGCAAGCCGCCACGACAGCCAAGGGGGCCCCGTCGCAGGATGACCTGGTGCTCAATCTGGCCGACGACATCTTGAAGGGCCTTCCCCAACTGCTAGTCCGGGACGAAGAGTCGGCCGCTTCGTCCGCCTTCCTCCCCGATGCCAACGGACGACTGCCATCTCTGTCTGTGGTCCTCCTCCACGAGGCTGAAAGGTTCAACCGCCTCTTGAATAGGGTGGGGTCAACGTTAAAGGAGCTCCAGAGAGCCATCAAGGGGTTGGTCGTGATGTCCTCAGACTTGGAACGAATGTTCAGCAGCCTGTTGAACAACCAGATCCCGGCTCTATGGACCCAGGTGGCTTATCCCTCCCTAAAGCCCCTAGCCAGCTGGGTGAAGGATTTCCAAGCTAGGATAGAGTTCATGCATACATGGATGCGTAAGGGCCAACCCAGCTGTTTCTGGCTTCCGGGGTTCTTTTTCCCCCAAGGGTTCATGACCGGGGTCTTGCAGACACATGCAAGGAAGTACTCTGTACCTATAGACACCCTTAGCTTTCGGTTTGAAGTCCAGGATGTGTACGAGGCAGAGGAGGTGCAAATGCCCCCAGAGGATGGGGTATATATCAATGGGTTGTTCCTAGATGGGGGGTTCTGGGACCAGCGATATCGGGCACTCACGGAGGCCCGACCGGGCATCATGTACTCACCGCTGCCGGTCGTGCACTTCGACCCCGTCGTGCAGTACAAGACAGACAACACGAATTTCATGAAAGATTATGAGTGCCCGCTGTATAAAACGGCAGTGCGAGCAGGAGTGCTCACCACCACCGGTGCTTCATCCAACTACATCCTCAACGTCAGCCTGCCCATCCGATCAGATACAACACCCGATTTCTGGATTCTGCAGGGGGTTGCTCTTCTTTGTCAGCTCAGCAAGTGAAACTGTGCCACATGATCAGGTTGAAGTGAAAAAGGAGTGGCAGCTGCTCAGCAAGGAGTCCAACTACGGCCAGCTGCTGAGCAAGAAGTCCAACTAGTGCCAGCTGCTCAGCAACTGAAACTGCCCATCCTACACCTGATTCCTGCATCCTGCACGGGGTTGCTCTTCTTTTCCAGCTCAGCAAGTGATAAAACTGTGCCAGCGAAGCAATTGGTGAGCCTGCGCCAGCTCCGCACGTGGTGAGACTTTGCCAGCTACTCATCAAGTGCAACTGTGCCAGCTCAGCAAGAAAAAGTGAAACTTCGCCATCTCAGAAAGAAGTGAAATAGTGCCAGCTGCTCAGCAAGAAGTGAAACTGTGCCAGCTGCTCAGCAGGAAGTGAAACTACTGCCAAATGCTCAGCAAGTGAAACTGCCCATGCGACACCCGGTTGCTGCGTCCTGCAGGGCATTGCTCTTCTTTGCCAGCTCAGCAAGTGGTGAAACTGTGCCAGCTCAGCAAGTGGTGAGCCTGTGCCAGCTCAGTGGTGAGCCTGTTCCAGCTCAGCACGTGGTGAAACTTTGCCAGCTGGTAAGCAAGTGAAACTGTGCCAGCTCGGCAAGAAGTGAAATAGTGCCAGCTGCTCAGCAAGAACTGAAACTGTGACAGCTGCAGTGAAACTTGGTTAGTCCCAGCTGCTCAGCAAAAAGTGAAAAAAAAACTGCCAGCTGCTCAGCAAGAAGTGAAACCGTGCCGGCTAAGCACGTGGTGAAACAGATGGAGATAAGACCGACAGTCCGAGCAGGAGTGCTCAACACTACCGGAGTATCATCCGAGTTTATACTATATAGTATATTATAGTCAACGTCAGCCTTCTGATCAAATCGGATGCAGCGCTTGTTTTTTCTGGATCCTTCAGGGGTTGCTCGTCTTTGTGGGTCGAGAAAGGGAAGCAGTTCCAGCTCAGCGAGTGAAACAAGTCTACACAAGAAAGACAGACAGCCAGACAGAAAGACACACACAAAAAGGGAGAAGCCTGCTGGGCGTCCCCGGAATATAACACCTATACTTGGGGCAATTTCCAGTCTAGATACAGAGATAATGGCCGTCCGGCTCGCTAGTATCAGAACGTAGGCAGGGGGAGGGGGAGACCGTAATCCTGCTGCTGCATTGATTGCGAGCTCAGCGAGGTTGTCATCCATGCCACCGTAAGTGGGACCAACATTTTTTGCTTGGTCAGACCGCAACCTCGGAAGTGGTGTACTGGCAAGCAACTCCAATTCCGTTCCGTGCTCAGTCACTGTATAAGGTTTTCCCCTGGTCTAAGGGTCTCGCCACACCTTTTTTTTTTTTTTTTTAACAAAAAACACCCACGACACACAGCTAGTGGTAATGATAAGAGCATTTACCCCTAGCTATATTCATAGGTGGCTCCGGTCTACTAGTGGGAAGCATCACGTGCTGGAAACCGGGTCCAGCGTCCCCCCAAAAGAAGAAAAAACTTCAAAAAACTCAACATTTTGAACGTATTGGGACAGCTGGCAAGCTCAAGCCATTCCAGCTGGAATGTATCTCAGCTGGCAGTTCTGCAATCGCTTCCACTCTCACCTCATTTCGAAGAGAGAGTTTGTGAATTGAGTCCATGCCTCTTGCACCTTAATTCTGATTGTGTTCGGTACAACCTTCTTTGCCTGTAAAAACGCAAATTTAATGTGCTCTGTTTTCTCCAAAATGACTGTCTGACATGCCAAGCAGTCATTAGCACCATGAGACGACCATATTTGAATAGATTTCGTGCATTGCTTGCAAACATCAACTATAGAGAATTTGAGAGGAAGATTATGACCCGGGCTAGAAGCCTAGAACTAATAGATTTCTTGCAAACATTGACGAAGAGGAGTATTATGCCCCTGGCCAGTAGTGGTGTACAGAGGCGGCTTGCAACCACTTTTGGGAGGTTAATTTTTAGGCAAGGCGATGATATCTTTTCCCCTGAGCTGATGCTACCCGGGCTAAAATGAATAACAAATCATGACATGTAGCGTTCATAGGGAGGGGTTAAATAGATGCAAGGAGGTATTTTCCCCAGAGGCTGACCTCCTGTGACCTGTTTGCAGCAGGAGCGTGAAACCTGGTAGAGAGATCTGGGGATATGTCGAGGGAGGAAGACAATCCTGTGGCAAACTGGGGGGGGCTGCCATGACAGCCTAAGGGACCAGGTATCGTCTTGGGGGCGAGATCACAACAGCCATTGCTGGTTTTGGTTAGGAAATATCTTCTCTGGGATGTTGTGTTTTGTAGAGGGAGGCTGGGAGTTGCTCTTTTTTTTTTTTTTTTTTTTTTTTTTYTGGCTCCTGCCATTYTGGGGAGGCTGGGAGTTGCTCATGGATGGTGAGGCCTGGTTTTGCTGTTATAGCATAGCCTTCCATACTAGCACCGCAGGGGGGGGGTGTTTAAAAAAAAAAAAAAAAAAAAAGCCTTCCATAGTTTTTGTGTCACCGTCTCTTTAATCTCTGATTACCTGAACTATGATAGCTTATCTGGCGTTTTTTTCCTCCAGGAGGCACCTCAGTTACTGCTTGTATTAGATACAGAATTTCAGAGGTGGAAGAAGCCGGTCCAACGCCGTGCAAAGCTGTGATGTTTTGTGCTCTTGGTTTGCCAATGCCAGAACTACGCTGGCCCGTGCTGGGGTGTAGCCCTGTGAGCTGCTGTAGCAGGAACGTGAGGCCTGGTAGAGAGATCTGGGGATTTGTCGAGGGAGGAAGGCAATCCAGTGGCAAGCTAGCGGGGGCTGCCATGACATCCTGATGGGCCGAGTATTGTCTTTGGCAGTGAAAACACGACAGCTAAGGCTGGTATTGGACAGATCGACACTGCCTTTGGAGTTCTGTGTATGGTATAGGGGAGGCTAGGAGTAGCTTAGGGAGTAAGCAGTCAGATTTGCTGTGGAGGTTCAGTGATTTTTCAATATCACCATCATCATCACCATCTTATACCATCAGTAGTATCATCAGATTTTCGTGAGGGATGCTGGGCCTGGTTCCCAGCATGTTCTGATCTACCAACTTAACGATGTATCTCAGGGGACGCTGGACCCGCTTTCGAGCAGGTGTAGCTCCCCACCAATAGACTGAAGCCCCGTGCAGGATAGGTAGGAATGTATGCTTTTATTATCACTCCTATCTGTTTTAGGGGGCGGTATTTCTGTTTCAAAAGAAAAGGAAACAAAAACAAAACTTAAAAAAAGAGTCCTATGACGGAGAGGCGGGGTGTTCTGATTGCCATGAAATTGTGGTTCCCCTTATGATGATAGCGGGGCGTAATCAGGTAGACATGAATGATCTTGCTTTCCCTGGCCAAAATCAATAACCGTACAATGGTAATGTGGGAAGGGCTACTGCGCACCACGGTGTTCATTTTCCCACCGCCAGCCTTCAAAACAGAGTTTAACAGACTAACTACAATATGTGGTAACCAACCGGACGTCTGGACGGGGTTCCGGACAGTCTGGAACAACATGTCCGGTGTCCGGTCCTTATGTCTGGATGGAGCCCCCCAGGGCAAAAATCGAAAAAAATAAAGGGCCGGCCCAGGATGTTTTTCGGGTCCGCCCCTTGAGAAATAACGGGGTGATTTTCAGTGCCGTTCCACCCCGCCAGACAGGGCCTAGAGGTCCGGACACAACGCACTGCAAGTTTTTGGGGTGTCGGGTTTCACACAGTCCCGAGCAATTTCAAAGCGGCCGTTTCGACGTGCCACCCACCACTGCTGCCCGTTGCCGCGCGCGCGCGCGCGCGAGAGAGAGAGAGAGAGAGAGAGAACTGACAGCGCTGCCAGTCTGAAGACTCTGACGTTCTGAATTGAACTTCAAAGTTTGAACTTTTAAGTTATATTATGAACTTAAATTACTTAATTCAAAGTTCGAACTTCAAAGTTAATCATACTTTTTTCTTTTTTTTCCCTCTGTTATGACCCGCCAAAACACAGACTGAGAACACTGCTGATTTCTGGGATTTGCCGCTGGAATGAATGCCTTGCTGAGATTCCCGCATTCTGCTGTGATTTCTAACTCTGTGTGTGTGTGTGTGTGTGTGTGCCTGCTGGTTTGTGTGCCTGAGTGCTTGTCGGCCTGAGTGTGTGTGTGACCCGTAAGGGTACTTGTTGGTTGAAAGGCCCCGCAGGGCCGGTACTTACCTGCGGCCGTGACTTTGAGGGTTGCATCGGGGAAAACACTCAAGTAGCGGAGGTAGGCCCGTGACACTTAGAGCAGCGGGAAAAACACTCAAGTAGCAGGTAGGCTGGTACCACTCAAGTAGTGGTAGAAGTGCCGGGTACTGGAGGCCGAACAGAAGAAGACAAAAGTTGGCATTTTTAGAGGCCTAGTAGCGGCAGGTTAGAGGTAGGCCGGTACCAGTCCAAGTAGCCTGAGTCTAGGGCCTGTCCGGACGACACCAGAGCCTGCAATGACGTTTCCCTCCGAAAGGGAGGAGGTACCGGTTGCTTGGAGGCCGCTCGGCCTAGGAAGTCACCACCCAAGAGGCCAGTGGGCCGCTATATCTTCAGGAGGAGCAAGCAGCTCCTCCTCATTTGTGGTATGCAAGGATTGGCGACATGCTGCTGGAGCCAAGCGTTGGACTTGGGAGCGCTGCTGGGAGGAGGAGAGCAGCTGGGCGTTCAGCCTGGCCATGGCAAGCAGCCCAGTCTGAGGATGATGAAGAAGGGGGCGAAGGAGGAGGGTGGCGAGGTACCTACCTGGCTATGGTGGACACCATCTTCATAACCTTGTTGGTCGCTGCATCTGGAAGGCCCCAGTTGTAGCTTGAGGCAGAGTCTGGCATGGCGGCTTAGTGAGCAGTGGCATAGCTGCTTTGGGTTGTCCTTTGGACAGGAGTGCAGCGACATAGCTGCTTTGCATTGTCCTTTGCACAGGAGGGCAGAGCCCTTAGTAGTCCACCATAGCCTAGGCATGTGAGAGGAGGAAGAAGGGGGAAGCCATAGCTATGGTGGACCTGTTGTTGTGTCAGCAGTAAGAAGGAACTTTGGATATTGATTCTGGTTCATCCAATCATTGTTATCATTATTATTGGAAGAAGAAGAATATTGGCGAAGTGAAGGAGGAGGAGGAAGGTGGAGAGAGAAGGGGGATTTGTCATTGGTCTTGCTGGTGTACATCTTCTTCTTCTTCTTCTTCTTCTTCTCTTCTT